CATACGTACCTATACAGTCAGCTAATATAGAAGGAGGGGGGGTCACATTTCTTTCCTAACCTAAATGCAATATTGCAGCAAACGGGGTAAAGGAAGGGTAACGTGGGATGAAGAATACAGATTTTCTGGTCTTGCCTTCTATAGGAAAGAAGCATCATGAAGGGAGGAATAGATGCTAGTGGGTGTTTTTATTCCCCCCATAGAAGATGTGTGTATTCACTACATAGGCCTTTTGGAGTGGCAAAGAACAGGGATTGTATTGCATGGAGGCATTGCTCTTTATGAATGCAGAAAATACTATTACAGTCTTTATTTTAAATTGTTAGAAAAGGCATCTGGAATTAGTTCAGCATCATTTTCTAAAGTATGGAAAAGTGAATGAATCATTACGGTCAAGTGTGATAAATAGCACTAAGAATGTTCTCCATTTCCCCCTCTATCGAACAGAGGTTTACCTGAAGATGGAGTTATTTTTCCTCAGGACTGAATGCAAGTGCTTGTTCGTGATAGTCACACCAAGTAGTTTGATGGAGACTTCAGTCTGTGCATTGAAGTAAATATTGCTGGAAGAGTCAGTACTGATGGATAAAGAAGTCTGTCCTGGTTTTGGACACAGTTTACCAGCCTACCAGTGACTTTAAAAAAAAAAAAAAGAGGGTGGGTTATGCTGTTTCATACGTACCTATACAGTCAGCTAATATAGAAGGAGGGGGGGTCACATTTCTTTCCTAACCTAAATGCAATATTTCAGCAAACGGGGTAAAGGAAGGGTAACGTGGGATGAAGAATACAGATTTTCTGGTCTTGCCTTCTATAGGAAAGAAGCATCATGAAGGGAGGAATAGATGCTAGTGGGTGTTTTTATTCCCCCCATAGAAGATGTGTGTATTCACTACATAGGCCTTTTGGAGTGGCAAAGAACAGGGATTGTATTGCATGGAGGCATTGCTCTTTATGAATGCAGAAAATACTATTACAGTCTTTATTTTAAATTGTTAGAAAAGGCATCTGGAATTAGTTCAGCATCATTTTCTAAAGTATGGAAAAGTGAATGAATCATTACGGTCAAGTGTGATAAATAGCACTAAGAATGTTCTCCATTTCCCCCTCTATCGAACAGAGGTTTACCTGAAGATGGAGTTATTTTGTAGTTTGTAATTCACATTTAACTTTAAACTGGGTTGCTGACTTGTGGGTAAGCCATAAGCATCCTCTCCATTGTTTGGATGAGGCTCACTATTTGGATGACTTAATTCAACGTTGCAGTTTGTAATTAAAAGCATTTCTCTGCATCCCTTAAGAAGCATTTCAGTAGTACTTTGTACAATTTTGCATATAGGGATCAGTTAAGCCACCTGGCTTCTTAACAGTAAGGATAGGTGTTTTAAGCTCTGTATGCTGCTTGTGTGCTCTGATGGTGCTCTTCTGCCACTTGCAGGTGGCCAGTAGAGTGGTGAGAACCAGCTTGTTAGTATTTGAAAATTTGGAGGATAACTTTGAAGGTCTAGGCTGAAAGGAGAATGTGGGAGGAAAAAGAAAGTACTAACACTTGGTGTCTTTTGCTAGTTGACATTGTCCAGAAGAAGCTAGAAAGAACCATTCTTAGTTTCTCACCTGCTGCTTTCTGCTGGAGCATTGATCTCTTCCTCTTTGGTTCTCTGGCATTTTGTTCTTGTAGTCTTTCACGTATTCTTATTTGAAATGTGGTCATAACTTACAAAGCAAGCTGGATTGATGTCTTGTTTCTCCCTTTCATCTCTGACTGCAACACCCGCTCACACTGTTGGTGTCTGGGAGTGATTCTGGTCTCTGGATCATATCACTTCTGGCACTATGAAGTGATCACATCTCTATCTTACGGGGGTAAAAAAGTAACCGGGATAACCAAGGGAGCTATAAGATCTGTAACTGATTATTTATTCCAGACAAAATAATCGTAGAATGGTTTGGGTTGGAAGGGACCTTTGAAGATCATCTAGTCCAACCCGCCTGCCGTGGGCAGGGACATCTTTCACTAGATAAAAGGGTTGACTTGAGAATTAACACTGCTTGAATTCTTTTGCAGTAAGTGACAATTATTCCATAAAAATCATGTCTAGATTAGGTCTATTGAACATAATGCGATTACAGGTTTGAAGGCAATGCTGTTTATCTAACACTTTGACTCCTTGTTAAGGTTTTTAATTTCATACTACAACGCTAAGAAATTAGAAGCAATCTGGCAGAGTGGGATCCCTAAACTTTTCAATAGTCATACGTCGGACTTAAAATGTGGCCAAATATGAGGACAGGTCCTTCATTTTTGCGCATCAGTATTGAAGCAGCCATAGCTCTGATAGCCCACCTTGGCATATGCAATGTGCTGTGGTTAGAAAGTGTGTTAGCTGCTCACTGAGAGACCAGAAGAATCTTTAGAGAGGGGCTCCATCAAAAATGATATGAATCCTTGACAGGATCCAGGCACAGTTTATATATGGTCAGAGTGAGAAAAGAAATAACAGAAAAGTAACGCATGCAGAAAAAATGAGGAATGCAAGAAGATAGTTAAGTATCTTTAAGGGTTGGCTTCCACATGTAAATGGAGACACGTGGTGGCCTGGAGCGAGCAGGTGCTTGAGAGAAGTACAGGAACAGACTGGATGCAATGGGAAACGAGGACACCCCATCCCCGAACGATCTAACTCTGGATAGCATTTGAGGGGCCGTTCCAGGAAAATAATGATTTGCCAGCTGTGGGGTGATACATGGCTGTCCTGGTTTTGGCTGGGTTAGAGTTAATTTCCTTCCTAGCAGCTGGTACAGTGCTGTGTTTTGGATTTAGCATGAGAATAATGTTGATAACACACCGATGTTTTAGTTGTTGCTAGGTAATGCTTACACTAGCCAAGGACTTCTCAGCTTCCCATGCTCTACTGACTGAGAAGGCCGCAGGTGCACAAGAAGCTGGGAGGGGGCACAGCCAACCTGGCCAAAGGGACATTCCATACCATGTGACGTCATGCTCAGTACATAAACTGGGGAAAGCTGGCCGGGGCGGGGGGGGCCGCTGCTCAGGGACTGCCTGGGCATCGGTCGGCGAGTGGTGAGCAATTGCACTGTGCATCACTTGCTTTGTGTATTGTTATTGTTGTTATTATTTTTTTATTATTGCTATTATTATTTTATTTCGATTATTAAACTGTTTTTATCTCAACCCACGAGTTTTTCTCACTTGTGCTCTTCCAATTCTCTCCCCCATCCCACCGGGGGCGGGGGGGAGGAGTGAGTGAGTGGCTGTGTGGTGCTCAGCTGCCGACTGAGGTTAAGCCACAACAATGGCTGGGAAACTCATCACAAATGTAAGGCGGATGTTCAGAGGGGGAAGGCTCTCTGGTGCATGAAGACGGTAAAAATCCAGCCTTCAGACATAGGAGAGGTAAACAAGGAATAAGTGAGCTTGAGCTTTAGGAAAGGAAATTGAGATCTGCAGATTCAGTGATCCCAAAGGATGGATACGAGTGGCAACTTAAATCCACGTTTTGGAGCCTGTATAGAGCTAGAGTTGCAACCTGTTTCAAAGCAGAAATGTGGCTCTGGACAAATAAGAGTTGTAAAGCATTGTTAACAGCGCTATGTCTTTACTCTGCTACTAAGTAAAAGGGCATGCAGCTTCAGAAGTTGAATTTGATGTGTCCAATGACCACTTTGGGTGCTGTACAACTTATTGGGTCCTACTTGATTTATAGGGCAGTAAGGATTTTACACTGAATTTATTCCTTATAGTGGACATAGGTAAGGTTTACAGGCTTGCCTCCTCCCCACCTACCTTTTTTTCCTGAGGACACCTTTAGTAATCTGTTAGCCCTCCACCCAGTTGCATAATTGTCCTAATTGGTATAGCTGAGACAGCAAGTGGTTAAAGGAGTTGTTCTAAGTAGTCTTAGATATACTTTATTTGCATAAAAAGGTAAGAAGAACTGATTTTCCCTTTTACTCTTTACCTATTTCCATACCTCCAGATGCTTATCAGGTTATTTGCCATGCTGGGCTCTACAAAGCACTTTTTCTAGAAGATGCATTATTAGCAGAAAGCCTCACGAAATCTTCTGGCAATCGCATCTTGGTAAAGAACCTTTGGTAGCTGATATTTAAGATAGTGCTGTAACAGATAATAGATTTAAATGAACTTCTGATCACATCATCTCTTCTTCTGCTTCCCTCCAGCACTTTCCTTGTGGTTTGTTGAATTCTTGGGGATAACAGATAAGTCCGTTACCTTTATTTGTTGTGCATCATCTAAGCCAACAATGCTATAGCTTGTCTGAAGAACTTTTAGTTTCCATACTTTAAAACGTGCTTAATGAGCAGCAGAGACAGATGTACATGTTCCATATAGATTCTTCTACCCCTGTAATATCAAGGGACTATGAACTGCAGCTTTGAGTTTTCCTTATCTCATAGAAAACACTGCCAGCCTTTTTCCTATCTTTCTCTAACGGTTCTTAACAGAAAGCCAGTGTGAAAGTTAAACTTCTCTATATAACCCAGACTGTAAGAAAACTTGAAGACAGCCTAAAGCTTTTCTGAGTTGGGTCCTAACAAGAAAAGGCTGAACTCCCTGTATTCCTTTTCTTGCTCTGGCTATATATATGTGTAAATAAAATACATAAAAACTCTGTGCAGATCCTGTCAAGGATTTGTATTGGCCACGCTCTTTCTGAATTCCCTCTATTACTAGTATTTGAATAACTGTTTGTGGAAATCCTGTTTCCCCTGCCATGGGGCGTCCCCTTTCCAAGTCTCCCATTCTCCCACTTCAAACTGCACTCCCAAAAGGGGGCATTACTCGCTTGCAAGCCCAGTGACAGGCCACCAAGGTGGCTAGGGGAAGGAGCACATGACATACCAGGAGAGGCTGAGAGAATCAGGTTTGTTCAACCATAAGAAGAGAAGGCTAAAGGTTGATCTTCTGGCTGTCTGCAACTACCTACGGGGAAGCTATGGAGAAAATGGAGCCAGACTTGCGGCAGGTGCACCAGAACAGGACAGGAGGCAATGGACAGAAGCTGGAACACAGGAAACTCCAGTTGAGCATAAGGCAAGTTTATTTTACCACAAGGGTGATCAAACACTGGAACAAGTTGTAAGAGGTGATGTAGAAACTCCATCCTTGAAGATATTCAAAGCTTGACTGGACAAGTCAACTCCCTTCCAACCTACGTTATTCTACGTTCATGATACTTGGCACCTCTACAGCAGCTGCTGGAAAAGCCTTTTCAAGCAGATGTGTCTGTTCTTTGCCAGTCTTGGTTCTTTTTAACCTGATCATGATGAACGTGTTTGTCGCTTTTTTTGTTTCCTGCAGTTCTGGAGGCAAAACAGCTGATCACTGGTTGAGGACAAGTTATTAAACCCCTTTTTTCTCAAGGAGTGATGCCTCCTCTCTGTGTCTGTGATGGAATCAAACTGACCTGGAGGCAGCAATAAATATGCGCAATGGTTGTATAGTCCGTGCTGTCTGCAAGGCTGGGGTTGGCAAGCAAGGTAGATCAAATCAAGTGCTGCAGGAGAATTGAATTGCATATTAAATTAAAATTCTGTATACTAGCATGAAGTTTGGCCTTCTTTTATTAAATACTTGGGTATCAAGTAATTGGTGTATCTAAAATACTTTGAAAAGGGCATCTTTTAATGTGCAGCAATATCTGAAAACACCTGTAATGATGATCTGGAAGAGCTGCCCTGTTGTCTGATGTTAGAAACCTTAACTGAAAGTGAAGCTTCCAAATAAGGCTTTCTTCCTTCACCTTAGTTTCATTCAGAGACTATATTTTTAGAAAAATGGTTTTAGAGAGACTTCCTATCGACAAACGTAGGTTGCATTAGCCCAATGCTAAAACATGCTTTGAGTTGTGAAAACATCACCTGATTATTAAATATGCGTTAGGACTTGCTACACAAGGAAACTTATTGATATAATTACACTAGTATAATTATGCTCAGACGATTTCCTGTGTCGACAGGCCCTTGGATGCAACTAGTTTGGCCCCTTCTTATTTAGTAACTCATTAGGCCTCTGACTGCATATTAAAATTGCATAATTCTTTGCTAAAAACACTTCAGTGTGCAAGTTTAGTGCTGACTGGCAGCACTGGGTGCTGAGCAGACCCGCAGTTAAGCTTTAAAAAAATGATGAAGAATGAAGGACAAAAGAAATGAATGCTCTAAGTCTGGGAAATGGTTCTAAATTAAACGGTCCTGAAATATCACCATTGCACAATTGCATGGATTTCAGAGTAGACGAGCTGAGCCATGCTCATTCAAAAGTGTGGCTCATTCACACCTTTATATACTAGGAGTGTCTTGGCCAGCTGACTCCTTGAGTCACTCTTTTATCTTTAGTTTTGATCCACAATAATGTGCTGGAGTAGGAGCACAGACACAGACAGCCTTGCATTTGCAGTCGTGTTTCCAATTTGCAAAACACTGTTTTTGTACTAAAGCAGCATTTCTGGGATTGTGCAGAGTTCCTCTACCACCACCTTTCCCCTGCCACTCTTTTTACAGAGTAATTTTGCTTGACTATTAATTTTATTTCAGAAAACTGCTGTGAGACTTATTTTTCTAATATCTGTCGTCTTCCAGATTTCTTTTTTTCGGTAGAAATTCCACTTCTTAAAATTGATAACTGTGAATGCTGAGTTTATGTAAATTGGATGAATTGTAATAGGAAGTCTGGGTTTTTTTGTGATAAAAATAAGCCTAAAGACAGTATACTGGCACCTCGTTATTCAATACCCAGCTTACCTTACTTCACACCTTTAAAACGGGGCTCTTGACGGTCTCAATCATCATAGCAAGGCTGAAAAGTTCTCATTATTCATATTATCTAGCAAATGAGTGAGGAGCTTCTGATACTTATCACATGGATGCTCCAGTTGATTTCATCTTTCTTCTAATTCAGTCTTCCCTTGACAGCACTTTAAAAGTAGAATCCAGGTATGCATGTAGATCTTGCAACGCTTTGAAATAGTGTCTCTCCAAAAGAATCATCTGCGTTCGTGAAGGAGTCTCTGAAAAACAGAAATGGAGCGAGTAACGCATGTTGGGGTATGAATTTTGGCAGGTTTCCTCAGGCAGGGTGTCACCTTGAGCTCCAGTGTCCGGTGGTATCCTGTGTAACGCACCTCACTGTGCTGCAAAACCTCCCAATAGGAACCTCTGTGCTAAGAAAAGCCTTCTCTTGTCGGTATGGCTTCTGTCACGTTTAAAAGTGAGGGAGTGATGGGAATTATGCAGGAGTGCTTGAATAAGGAGTTGGGGCAATTGAATCACTTTGTGTAGCAATTGTGTTTTATGATTGAAACTCATGGGTTTTTTTCTTTGCTAGAAAAGAATAATAAAGCTCTATCCTTTCCTATCAGCACCGAATTCACGATTTTGTGACTCCGTACACTTCACAGCTGGTTGCTGTAATTCATTTTACACAAGGTAGTTTGATTTTTGCATTCTTAATTTGAGGCAGTAGTCCAAAAAGTGAATTCAGATCAGCAGTTGTAATACTTAGGTTTTTTCCCTTGAAGTTCAGTTCACATCCCTCAGTCCTACAGCTAACGCATACGTATCTATTTTATGTGGCAAAAATACAGGTTGACTGCTTATCGGGTCAATGCTGCTGTTTAATAAACAGTACTTATCTCCTTGAAGCAACACCCTGCCCTAAATAAGTTTGCCTAGGGAGTTGAGCCAGAAATAGCTTGCTTTTTTTTTTTAATTGGCTTGTAAAAAAAAAAATCATGGAAAAAGATGTTTGAAAATACAGGTCGGTAGTAGTCCTGCTTTCTGAACAGCATGGTTCTTTTTTGTTGGTTTCTTTTTTTTTTTTTCCTCTGTCAGATGTGCAGATTGTAAAACTCTGCGATCACATCTTTCCCCAGGATTCTGCTTCTCCCAGTGTTTCATGTTATTCTCAAAACTGAACATATGCCCTTACTTTTATTTAGTTTGTCACTAAAACGCCACTGGACGAATGTAATGACATTGTTGAGCAACATGTGATTATGTTGATCCCTGAACACTTAGATATGGCTTTGTTACGCCCCTGCGAGAAGTGGTAAACGATCCCATTTTAATACAGCGGGAGGAGGATGTATTACTTAATTACAAAATTACTTAATTTTGCAGCTTAAATAGCTTGGGGGGAGAGGGGGTTCCCCTCCATGATGCTAGTCTTTGTACTTCCAACTCTTGTAAGCTCTTTTTTTTTCCCCGTATTCCTGAAAACTAGCTGTCACGTACCAAATCTGGCACAGAAAAAGGAAGGGCAGGGGAACTGGGATGTGGCAGTAGATACAGAAACGTTAGGAGGCATAAAAATAGACAGCAAAGAAAAGGGGAATGCTTAATATTGATGAGATAATGGTTAACCAGCTAATAGTGGTAAGGCTGTATACATAATGCAGCTGGAATGCACAGTGTGGATAACAAGAAATGGAAATGTTAAAATACAAATGCTGGGGGCCTGGGCAGAAAATTAAAGTATTTTTGAATGGGTGGTGCTCTGGGGTTCATATGGAACACCGCAAAAAAATCATAGAATAATGTTAATGACTAGGACGTGATTTTCAAATGGGAATGTTCTGTTACAAAAGATGGAAATAAAAATAAGTGCTTTAATGCAGTGATGAGCTATGGAGCATTAAGCAACAGAATGGCTGAAATCATAGGTGGAAGCCAGATTTCTTTGGGAAAAGATGGTAAGTGAGATTCTGATGGAGTAGAGGTAGATGCTTGCTGCAGCTCCTCCTGATCTGATTTGGAGATGGATAATAGAAACCTTTGCAAGTATAAATATTTGTGGGAGTATTTTTTATGTTACTTTCCAGCTGTAGTGATAATGCTATGAATAACTTTGTTAATTGTCATATCTACAATAGAGGGTTCTTTCTAATTAATGAGACAGAAACTCTGTGAATTTGTCATAACAAGCAAGGGGATATGGTGGCTGCGGGGGCCACCTGAGTGAGTGAATCACCTTCAGAAAAATACTTGAAGTAAGCAGAGGTCCTGTAAGTGTTGGGAGAAGATGACAAATCCATACTTTAGAAGTCAAGATGTGCAGGAATTAAAAAAAAAAAAAAACAACCAAACAAAAACCTGCCAAAGGTTGAGCGGAATTAGTTGGCTTAACTGTTTCAATGTGCCTTCAGGGATGTAAATAGGAAAGGTCAGAGGGGCAGATGGGCTGCTTGCAGTGAGGACTGGGTTGTAGGTAAGAGTCTAGAGCTATTGTGTGAAAACTGAGAAGATACTTCGCTTCATTTCTCAGTACAGGTGCTGACACCGCAAAGGCAAGATGGATAAATAGTAAAAATAATATTCAAATGAGAATTGCTATATTTCTATTGAAAGCAAAACTGAAGGAGTTGGTGTACTTAAATTAGGGAGACAGAATAATCTTTTGTCACAGAAACCTGAAGTTTTAGGTCGTGGAAATGCAAGTCTTCAGCAACGAGCATCTTTAACATATTGATCAAGTTAGTGTTAGAGAATCACAGGCTTTAATGGCAATGTTTGCAAAGGGCAGGAAAAAAAGCAAATTGAATTGCTGTAACATGACATCAAAAGGGTGTATGCCTCAGAATATGTTTGGAAGCAAGATCTGAAACAAGCTTCCCAAATGTAAAACAAATGAGAAAACCCAAGATCTTTTAAAATAAATAAAATAAAAAACAAAAAACCATATTGTGTTCCCAATGTCAAACAGAACTATCTGGATTCTGATGAAATATCTGGTATGTGGGGAAACTGGTGCTGAAAGTCAGGTTAGAACAGTAAAAATAAGTAAGGAGATGCTGATGAGTGGGGAAACTGGCCATGGGAAGTGTTGAAGGGTAGAGTGGGGAAATGATGCTACTAAGGTTGGGAATGGTTTTGTTTATTATTTCATTAATGATCTTATGCATAAATGTTAGGAATAAGTACATCACACTTCATCACGGGGCATAGGAGGCATTGTCAGAAAAGGAGGACCTGAGCATCATACAAAAAGCAGTAGGGTAATAGATATGGGTTAAATAATGTATATATTGAAGATCATGTAGCTGAGAGTTACTAGTGAACTGGGAGATGATCAGTCATAAACAACCAAGACAAGCATGCATGTACT